GTGTATTACGTCAAGCTTATGTCTGTATGATGTCAAGCTTATATGTCATATGTGTGTTATGTCAAGCTTAAAGTACATGCAGTGTTAAAGGGGTTTGATAAAGCTTGATAATGTTAAGTTTATTCAGATTTGTAGAGAACTGCACTAAGCTTTTATATCTTTAAAGTGTAAATGTGGGAAACTTTTGTACCCCTGTCTTCAAGAGCGTGTGATTGTGTGTTTAATTTTTGACTATGTATGTATGTATGTATGTATGTGTGTGTGTATGTATGTATGCATGTATGTATGTATGTATGTGTACCTACCCAGCAGCATATCATTAGGCAGGCACAACACGTATTATCATGCCGTCATTTTATCAACAAGCCATATAATTACATACATACATACATACATACATACATACATACACACATGCACCCACACTCTGGACAACACCTCACCAGACTACTCATCGCTACAAGGCACCCTGGACAGGCTACAGGCATGGACTACGGAGAACAAGGTCACCATCAACCACACCAAAACCGTAGTCATGCACATCAATACCGCCACCACTCCAGTGCAAGCTCCAGCAGTCACAGTGCGTGCCCATCCTCTACAGTTAGTGCAGTCTGCCAAACTCCTGGGTGTAACTATAGACAACAAACTGGACTGGAAGGCCCATGTAAACAACACAATGAAGGCAGCCTTGTACCGACTCTACATGCTACGACGACTCAGGTCACTTGGGACACCCACGCCAGAGCTGAGGACTATCTACAACGCATTTAGTCTCCTCAAATTAATGTATGCGTCACCAGCCTGGTCGTCTTCTCTCAACTCTACCCAACAACGTCAGCTAGAGAAGGTACAGAAAAGGGCCTGCAGAATCATGCTCGGTGCAGACTACTCCGGCTACAACAACACTCTCTCCACCCTGGAAATGCCATCCCTCAGTGACCTCCACCACCAAGCACTGGAAAGGTTTGGCAGCCAACTAATGCATCACCCTTGTCATCGCCACCTCCTGCCACCGGCAGCCCCCCACCCACCTCGCGCAGTCCGCCACTACAACAAAATTCAGCCCATAAGAGCCCGCACCGATAGATATAAGAACAGCACCATCCCATCTATTGTTAAAATAATAAACAACTCCTGATTTATGTACTGTACAGCCCTGTAAATGTATTCAATGCATATTATATCATTATGTCTAAATCAAATGTAAGTCTGTATATTTTCAGCCACCGGCTGCAACTATTAATAAACCGTTTATTATTATTATTATTATTATTATTATTATTATTAATATTATTATTATTATTACACATACATACATACTGTACAATGTACATTCACATACATGTGTGTTCGGAGGTTGACGATCATATCACCTCAGTAACATTATTTATTCAGTGCTTCAGATGTCAGACAGAGTGGAGGTAAAGACAAACACTTACATAAACATTGGAGGGAATGTTTAGTCCATATAAATTACCATATTAAGTGTTTATCAAGAGAAACATATGATCTTAGGATGTTTATAAATTGCTGTTTTATATAATTTACGTTTTTTAATGAGTTTATTTTAAATGTAAGTTTTCTTTACATAGACGCCATCTTGATTCTTGTTTATTTTCCACATCACAAACCTACAACTCACTCCAGCCAATCACAGCCCTGACAACTCACCCCAGCCAATCACAGCCCTATAATCACTCCAGCCAATCACAGCCTCACAACTTACTCCAACCAATATCAGCCCTACAATTCACTCCAACCAATCACAGTGTACGTAACATACCCATCCACCCAACCTAGGAGAGAAAAACTAACACCTCCCAGCCGTAAGATTAGGTAAAGCCTTATAATACTCACACGCAACTTATTATAATACACAGATGCAACACTAAGTAGTTCTAGCATGTATTTACCTTCGTCAGTTTATTAAAAGAAAGATATACGAGGCCAAAATCTAACTAGAATCTTCCCTGGATTTTTTTTTATGGGGGGGAGGAATTAAATAGATTGGTAGTGAAAAGGTGTAGGGTGGTAGAGGTTAATGGGTTAATTATTTTTCCAGGTGTTCTTTGTGATGTATAGAGTGGTAATTATATAGGAATGGTTAAGTCGCTATATTAATGTTTATGTCAATGTAAGATAAGATTTGTTTCGTATCGTATTGTTGGTTTTGATTAAGAGTGGTAGTAATTATGTGTTAGTGATTAGATAATTAGTTTGGTAATTAGATAGATAATTAATATTGTTAGTAATAATGAAACAGACGAAGATACTTACTGGCGTTGGTGGGATGGTGAAGAAGTGCTCCCTCATCCTCCCTCACCATCCTCCCTCACTACGCTCCCTCTACACTCCCTCACTACCCTCCATCACCATGCTCCCCCACGTAAACAACCTACAACCAGGTAGTTAGACGCGAGTATAACCATCCATTGTTGTTGTTGTGTAAAAGTTTCTATTGGGCAGCAGACAGGTAAATGTAATATGGTAATAACGCGGTAAATAAATAGTTAAACTGGGGGTATTACCTGGGGGTATTACCTGCTCATTAATTATGCTCTCAGGTAGAAACGGCTCTAAGCTTATTTTCTTTCCTTGACCATTATTATTATTATTATTATTATTATTATTATTATTATTATTATTATTATTATTATTATTATTATTATCTGGTCTTCTTATTCCTAGCATTATTGTGGGTTCTTATTCCTATCATTACCCATCCTTCACTTCTTTCCTCCTGTGGTGTTATGGACGTAAGATTTAATCAAGTCCAGGTGAGAGAGGCAAGACAGGTAAACCAATATACACAGAGATATGATAAACAGTGTAGTGTGGTGTGTAGTGTGTGGTGTGTGGTGGTGTAGTGTGTGGTAGTGTGGTGTGTGTAGTGTGTGGTGTGTGTAGTGTGTGGTGGTGGTGGTGGTGTAGTGTAGTGTGTAGTGTGTGGTGGTGTGTAGTGTAGTGTGGTTGTGCAGGTGTGGTGGTGTAGTGTGTGGTGGTGTAGTGTAGTGTGTGGTGGTGTAGTGCGTAGTGTGTGGTGGTGTGGTGTGAGTGTTAGTGCTTGGTGTGTGGTGGTGTGCGGTGGTGTAGTGTAGTGCCCCGATGCCTGGTTGGCCTCAGTTCTGTGGCTTTAATGTGGGTTAAGGAGATTCATTTTCCTGTTATATTGTGCCTTGCCTCTGTCGGCTTGGGCGAATATTGTAGTTTGTAAATAAGTGAAGCTTATTTTATTGCGTATTTATTCTCCGGTAAAGTTTGCTTATTTCTTCGTGGGTAGTGGAGATTGGGGGGGTGGAGAGGAGGGGGCGCTGGTGGGGTGGGGGGTAATGTGAAAGGGGTAGGGTTATGGGGGAGAGGAGGAAGGGGGGGAGGGATGGGGATGGATGGTGGATAGTAGGGATGAGATGGAAGAGGAAAGAAGTAGTGGGGTGGCTGGGGGAGGTGATGTGTAGTGGGGAGAGAAGGGGAGGGAAGGGGGGTAGTTGGGTGGCTGGGGAGGTGATGTGAGTGGGGGAGGAAAGGAGGATGGGGGGGTAGTTGGGTGGCTGGGGAGGGTGATGTAGTGGGGAGGAGAAGGAGGATGGGGGAGGAGGAAAGGAAAAGTGGAGGGGGAGGGGGAAGGATTGAATAAAGGATAGTAAGGAGGAGGTGGGGGTTGAGTGGTGGGGAAGGGTGGATGATGAAGATAGATAGATAGAGATTGAACTTGTTGCGGGTAAGGCAAGAGCATAGAGATTACAGTCGCCCTCCCTCTCTCCCTTTCTCTCCCCTTCTCTCCCCCCTTCTCTCCATTTCTCTCCAACCTCCCTCCTCCTCCCCAACCTCTCCCCTCCCCTTTTTCCCTCTCCTCTCTCCTTTTCTCCCTCTTCTCGCCTCCTTATTTCCCCTCTCCTCCCTTCCCCCTCATTCCCTCTCATTCTCCTCTCCCCCCCCCCTCTCTCTCTCTCTCCTCTCTCTCTCTCTCTCTCTCTCTCTCTCTCTCTCTCTCTCTCTCTCTCTCTCTCTCTCTCTCTCTCTCAGCAGTTACTCTCTAAGACCACCCCCCATGCGCTCCTCTCAGTCCCAGACCTCCATAAAATATCATGGTGTGAAGGTGTGGAACAACTTACCCCCACCCATCCCAGCAAAGACTACGCTCCCTTCCTTTAACTCATCTCTTAAAAAATATCTATTGTCGAAGTATTAATATAATACTTTTTGTAACACTTACTATATTTACAGTACCTGCTTTTATTGTACCATCAAAATCGTTTTCTCGAAACTTATTATGTAAATAGATAAGTAATTACCATTGCAATAAACATAATTGCCAACTAGACATAATCCTGACAGCTCTGTCCTCTTGTTCAACCTTAATACCGTACAACCCAGGTTGTACTGCTCCCCCATTATACTTATGTATTTCAATTCCACTGTAACTTATGTATAATACTTAAAATAAATATTTAACGAAGTGATAACCGTGGTAACATGTTCTAATTACTACCATGTTATTGTACTATTCCAGATGTTACTAAATGTTACATAATACTTCCTTGAGATAAATGTATAGTATACAGTATATATCAGGTGCCTCAAAGAGAGCTCAGGTTCTCAACTGGCTCAGCCATGTTAATATTGTTATTATTATCCACTCTGTATCTGTGTTTTTCTGGCTCAATAAACTGTTTCAATTCAATTAAACAATACCTACATCCTTCCCTCCCCCCTCCCCCTTCCCTCCCCCTCCCCTCCCCTCCTCCCCCTCCCCTCCTCCCTCCCTCCCTCCTCCCCTCCTCCCTCCTCCTCCCTCCTCCCTCCCTCCTCCCTCCTCCCTCCTTCCTTCCCTCCTGTCCACTCCCACAGTGACTACCTACCTCTCCCCCCCCCCACAGTTACGTTTCTTCAGAGGTTCCTATGGTAAATTGTTGGTCTAATTGGAGGTAAAGAAAGGTGGGTGATGAATGTGGAGGCTGGCCACTGAGGGACCCTCCTGTGTGTCGTAATACAAGACCTTATGTTGCTGGGGGCTGAGGTCGGGGCTGGAGCTGGGGTCGGGGCCTGGGGGCTGAGGGCTGGGACCGGGGGCTGAGCTCGTTAGAATCTTTAGAGAATCCTGGACCCATAAAGTTTAAGAATTGAGACGTAGAATGTTTGAAAATCCGTAATCCGAACGTTTCAGAATTCGGATTTAGAATTTTTTTTCTTACAAACAGGACCAGGAATCTTTGAGACTTCACTTGTAGAATCTTTTAGAACTCGGACCTTGATTCTTTTTCCGGTTGTAGAATCTCTGTGAATCCGGGTTTAGAATCTCTTGTGAATCCGGGTTTAAAATCTCTTGTGAATCCGGGTTTAGAATCTCTTGTGAATCCGGGTTTAAAATCTCTTGTGAATCCGGGTTTAGAATCTCTGTGAATCCGGGTTTAGAATCTCTTGTGAATCCGGGTTTAGAATCTCTTGTGAATCCGGGTTTAGAATCTCTTGTGAATCCGGGTTTAGAATCTCTTGTGAATCCGGGTTTAGAATCTCTTGTGAATCCGGGTTTAGAATCTCTTGTGAATCCGGGTTTAGAATCTCTTGTGAATCCGGGTTTAGAATCTCTTGTGAATCCGGACGTGTTTTTTGTTTTTGTTTTTGAGAACTTGGATCAATAGGCCATATTAATTGGGGTTTAATATTAATCCTTTGAGTATCATGACTTGATGACTTAATCCCCTCAGCATGATGACTTAATCCCCACAGCATGATGACTTAATCCCCACAGTATGATGATTTTACCCCTTTGATATGATGACTTAAACCCTTTGATAATTGTCTTAACCCCTTTGAATACGATGATTGAGAGATGCACAACTGCCTGGAGGAAACCCGGGAGGTGTGTCATTGTTTGGTTCTACTGCATATCTAGGACAGGGCGTGGGTCGTATGTGTGGTGCTGGAATGGGTGGGTGGTGGGTCATAAGTTATAACTCTTGGACAGGGCGTGGGTCGTATGTGGTGCTGGAATGGGTGGGTGGTGGGTCATGGGTCGTGTGTGTGGTGCTGGAATGGGTGGGTGGTGGGTCATGGGTTATAACTCTTGGACAGGGTGTGGGTCGTGTGTGTGTATGTTGGTCCATGGTTTACGAACGTGTAGACATTTCCAACACACCGACATGTTCCACACTATTATATTTTCATGAGTTTTGTGCTGTTCAAAGTCATATATATATATACATAGGGGGTGTGTGTGTGTGTGTGTGTGTGTGTGTGTGTGTGTGTGTGTGTGTGTGTGTGTGTGTGTGTGTGTGTTTGTGTGTGTGTGTGTACCACCAGGAATGACCCGCCTCACTCATTCATCACCTGTGGGACGTCTTGTGTACACCTTGAGAGAGCCTGGCACCTCCATCACCTCTGTACACTATTTACCACAAGACAGCTCTTGGTGTGTTAAGGTACTCCCTCCTGACCCTACTTCCTCCTCCTGTGCACAACCATTGACTGTGTGTGTGTGTGTGTGTGTGTGTTGACGTCAGAGTACTTCAATAATTCACCCCTTGTATTCACCTCACCCATGTCTTCAGCTCATGAGAGAGAAAGAAAGTCCTTAATGTTATGTGTTTGACTGTGTACTCCTCTGCCCACCTCCACCCTCCTGGTCTTAATGTTATTTATCTGATGGTTGGAAGGCCCTCAGACGTGTAAACTAAGATGTAGATGTAGGAGAGAGAGAGGTTGGGCCCTCCCAGACGTGTAAACTAAGATGGCAGATGGCAGGAGAGAGAGAGTTGGAAGGCCCCTCAGACGTGTAAACTAAGATGGCAGATGGCAGGAGAGAGAGTTGGAAGGCCCCCCAGACGTGTACACACTAAGCTGGCAGGGTATATTGATGGCAAGCAAGCAAGGAGGTAGGCAAGGCAAGGACAAGGTTTTATACGTGGACAGGGCGACTAGTGTAAAAGTTAATGGGATACTTTGTCGCCAGTTTTAGAGGCTACTTAATGCCTTTATGTGGTGTTCCCTGCCTGTGTTCTGACCTACCGGAGTGGGCGAGTGTCTTACTTCACTGCCGACGAGAGAGAAGTTTTTTTTTTTTTTTACCTGGTTAACTCTTTCTCTCTCTCTCAGTTGACATTTTGTATTAGTTTGTAGTCTCTCTCTCTCTCTCTCTCTCTCTCTCTCTCTCTCTCTCTCTCTCTCTCTCGGGGAGGAAGAATACGGAGAAGATCTTGTTTATGATTGATTTTTTGAACGTCGTGTTGAGTTATGTTGGGAGGGATACTGGTATGTTGGGTTATGTTGGAAGGATTATGTTGTGTTATGTTGGAAGGGTTGTGTTGTGTTATGTTGGAAGGATTATGTTGTGTTATGTTGGAAGGATTGTGTATATGTATGTATCTGAATATTCTTTAAAATATCAGGTATTGTGTGTCTGTGTGTGTGTGTATGCGTGAAAAAAAAAACAATCGAACCATCAATCATAAAGACAAGAATCGAGCGTTGTATCCACCCAGCCACTGTACTCCAAGCATAAACATCATACCAACTATCTCAAGAGCACACGTCATTCAGATATTACACTACAGTAAACAGAGGCACAAAACAATGCAAGCACTGTCGTCATTATTCTGCCCCTCAAGAGAGTTTAAGGACCAAGTGACTCATTCCTACTGGTGTTCCCTCAGGAGATGGTGAATCAACAACTCTTTTTCCCTGATTGTTTGGGTATTTCTATTTCATATTATTGTTATTGTTGATTACTTGTGCGTTATAACCTTTTTTTAGTTTTTTTTTTTGTAGGGAAAGTTTGTTTATGATGGTGTATTTTGCTGTAGAATGTGATATAGATTTTTTCTATTTTTGTAGTGAATACTTTATGTAAAGTTCTGTATTTAGCTGAAGAACATGTTATATATTTCTTTATTTTGTAGTGAATATCGTATATAGTGGTGTGCTTTGATGAAATGTTATGTAGAGTGGTACTGTGTATATTTTATGAAAGGGTTTATGTAATGCTGTATTTTGTATGAAAGGGTTTATGTAATGCTGTATTTTGTATGAAAGGGTTTATGTAATGATGTATTTTTTGAAAGGTTATGTACAGTATTGTTAAAAAATATTATTATTATTATTTTGTTCATATAGACATAGTGTGTTTAATCGAGTTAATAAGGTTAAATTTATATTGTATTGTTAATTTCGTTGAAGAGATTAGGTGAATTATGTAGTAGCAGTAAATGTGTTGTGTATACTGTTGAAAAGGTGGAAGGTTACAGGTTTTTTTGTACCTGTAGTAGTTATTATGCACTGTACCATATTGTATTTTCTTGAATGATTATATACTGTATTGAGTTACTATATATTATTATAAAATAGTAGGTGTTAGATTATATTAGCTATATGTCAAAGAGTATGTTGATATATGAGAACTATATATAGACATTAAATGATATAAACAATTATATATGAGATTTATTATATTAGAAGATAAAGCGCAATAGTTTATGAAAGGAAATATACTGTAATACTAAGGCAGCAAGACCATGTTATGTAGAAGAATACTGTAATGTGTTCAGCAAATAATGGAATAAACTTGTGTGTGATTTTGTAATGTAAAACAGTTGGCAGGATTGGATGGTGTGTACAAGGATGGTCTATTGTGCACTGAGTTATCTGCAAGGTTTTTCTGTGATCATATTGCAAGTTGAAAATATCTTCTCTGAGCAATATTTTTTAGTGTCTTTTTTGTGAAATTATTTTTATGTGATTCAGAGTGTTGATATATATTGTATTTAGTAAAAAATTTGCATAAATGTTTTCTAAATTATTTTTTTTACAGGATTATTCATTACTATTTTATTTTTTTTGCATATTTGTGTTGATTTATTTTTTATGAATTTTTGTATTTTTAGTTTTTTGTGTGTCTGTATTTGTTAAACATTAAATACATCTAATATTTCTTACATTATTATTATTATTATTATTATTATTATTATTATTATTATTATTATTTGTCACAGTCTTCATCAGGGTGTTACAGTATACAGTATAGACTCTCATAAGAAAAATACAGTGCTGTAATATATTGTAGAAAAGTTAGAGTTCATTAATATCTTGAGGTTTTTATTGAATTTTATGAGTAAAGGAATCACATAAAGATACATTACTGTTGTGAAAATGTGGCAAGACTATTATTTAAGGCAGAGGCGACCAGCTGATGCTACCTGTGTGATAACTTAGTCAAGGTGTTGCATCCCTCACCTGCTGGTCTTATTACATACATACATACATACAAGTACAGTACGACTTTTCTTTACTTATCGGTTTTACTAATGCAAATTTTTAAAGGATATTAGCCAATTTACCAAACCTTTACTTGTATTGTGTATATCGACCATTATCGAGCCTTGTGACACCCAGCACTGATGCCTGTTGATTACCACACGTTCAGCACAACTACTGAGAGAGATACAATATATTGAGGGAGGTCCGTTAAATGTGAAACCTCCATCTAACAAACTATATAGATATGAGAACTCCGTTATATCTAGGGTCCATTAGAGGCGAAAACACCCTCATTTAAAGGTATTACACGGAGATAAAAGGTCATTATATAGAGGTTTCCGGTAAAACTCGCCAGCATAATGTACCGCGCACCGCTGAGACCCTTCCCAGCTCCCTATCGTGCAAGAACGCCCCACCACCTTCACCCAATCAAACTTTATCCCACAATCCCCTTATTGTTTATGCCAGGACGTAGTTTATACCGTCTTTAGTGTACTGAAATAGACTGTCGGTATCAAAGAATCTGTTGTTGTTAATATTATTATTGTTGGTGGTATTATTATTGTTATTATTATTGGTGTTATTCTTGCTGTTGTTCTTATCATTATTATTATTGTTGTTATTGTTATTATTTTTGGATCACCTGAAGAATCATCGCCCCAGCTTATTTCACCTGAAGCTTAACTTAACCTAACCTAAACCTATTCTATCCTAACCTAAATCTAACCTAACATAGCCTAACCTAACCTCATCCTCCCAAAACAGTTTTAGGCTGGTTTAATCTTTAGGTGAAATAAGCTGGGGTGATGATTCTTCAGGTGGTCCTTATCTTTTGTTATTGCTGTTATTGTTCTTATTGTTGTTGTTATTGTTCTTATTGTTGTTGTTATTGTTCTTATTGTTGTTGTTATTGTTCTTATTATTGTTGTTGTTTTTATAGGGATGAAAGGCCATGATATAGAGAGTCCGTTAGCTATGTAAAACCCTCCGCCCACTAACAGATTATATAGAGAAAAAAGTCCGCTATGTGGAGGTTTTACTGTACTCACTCCCGGAAAGTCAGAAGTCAAGGCAACGAACAAAAGGTCAAAGTTCATAACCTTGTTCAGATAAATTCACTTTATTTTTTAATTTATTTTTTATTTATTTTTTATTAATCTATAAAAGAGAAAAATAATATTTACACAATCCCTTTTCTCTTTTTTTTTACTATTTTTAATTTGCTTTTTCATGGCGAAGGTTTTGGGGCGTAAAAAAAATATTGATTAAAAAAAAAGAAACTTTTTTTTTAGTTACTATAGGATCATCTCTATAATCTCCTTCACTAGTTTTCAAAGCTTGTGGTGTTGGTGTTCTTTTAAACCTTGTGATGACACTAGTTTACATGTAGCTACGGATTATTTTATTAGAAAAGTTTACAAAACGTGAAATTTTTTAAACTATTTTTTTTTGTGTTTTGTAATGGAATAAAGACTTGATGATTGACCTTCATAATTTGTCTGGTCTGTGATGTTGTTTTATGTTACAGGTAAATGCCTTCTACAGGGTGTTGGAAAAGTACCTGTACACCAATGTTAATTAAGAATACAGTTGTTTCTCGTTGTCCAGTCACCCTTCACTTGTGCATTTACAGGGGCTCGTCAGGTTATATGTACAGTCCCCTTCACTGGTGCGTTTACAGGGGCTCGTCGGGTTATATGTACAGTCCTTCACTAGTGCGTTACAAGGGCTCGTCGGGTTATATGTCCAGTCACCCTTCACTTGTGCATTTACAGGGGCTCGTCAGGTTTTGTGCAGTGTGGCAGAGCTGTGTTTGTTTACATTCGACAGAAGGAAACTCGCAATAGTAAACATATTATGAAATCAAAGTAAAACAATATTGAAATAAATATC